AAAAACAGTACGATTGCTTTGAAAAAAGGTCAGATCTTCCACAATATGTCAAAATAAAGAAATATTTTTTTCAAAAAAAAACAAAAAAAAAATTAAAAAAAAATTTTTCTTTCAAAAAAAAATTTTTTTTCAAAAAAAAAAGTAATTTTTTGGCCAATTTATAGTTTCTCAAAAATCGTTATTTTTTCAAAGTAAATTTTTTTTCAAAAATGTTAATCGTTTTTAAAAAAATAATAATTTTGGTACGGGAAGTTCCAGCAATTTCCTTAAGGCACGATGCCTTAATTGCCTTAGACAGAATTCCACTTACAGCTAGTTTATAATTTTATTTGAACAGCGATCAGAACTTATGGGTTCTATGAGCTGTTGTGAGTAATATCTTACAAACTATGTTTGTTTCATTACAGATGGCAACCCAAACAGTTGTCACATCTCTGTATGATAAATTTTTATTACAATCTCTGTAATAGGGCATCTGGTGCAACAATGCCGGGTGAGGGCTATTTTCACTTGGAAACATATTGCTATTTATATTTCCAAGTGAAAAACGTTGTCAATGTTGCCTGACAACAGGCTGCTCGAAGTAGGTATCGAACCCGGGACCTCTGAAACAAGTCCCGTCGCTCTTAACCGCTTACCCACGGGCGAGCCCTTTAGTAATCAATATCATCAGCAAACTAAATACTTTATAAAATGCAAAAGCTTACAAATGTCTTACGAGATATTTATAGGTGTTATTATGTTTTTGTCTAGTATATTTATACCTTATACTTTCATAAACACTTAACGTTCACAATGAGAATTGAAAACACATGATAAGTTGTATTATGATTACATAAATTGCCTGACTGATGGCCACAAAATCAAATTATTTAGTGCCATGTGAATGCATACATTGTCATTTCGTGGAATGGTATTATTTCTAAATATAATAAAATTAGTTTTAATATAGGTGGAATAGTAATTGTAGGTATTTACGCAACTGCATATATTGCATTATTTTTAATAATACATTTCAAAGGTCAAGAATCAAGATCAGTTAAAGATCAAGATTGATCAAGCCGTAATGTACATTCCTCGTATTGTCATACTTTTTCCCTTTCTTGTTATTTTCATCTCATCAATTTTTTTCTTTGCGTTTCACATTAGGGTGATTTTTCAGCTGTTGCTGGAACAATTTCTTTTACTTACGCTTACATTCTGGAAATAGAAGAAATGGCAGATGCTGTATTTGGAATGTATTAAGGGGATATAGTTCGAGACATTGACGCTATTGCTTTACTAAAAATAACCACCCTTATCTAAAGTTGGAGATTACAATTATTTCGATACTTCAAATTCAAATCTGATACTTCAGTTATAAATACTTTCATTTTGCATAGGTGACGTTATTGTTGTACCATGACTCGTCTCGTTTATGCATAGATAGCCAATATTTATTTTATAAAAGCGATTTCTTATTAAATGCACGCTTTGATAAAATTCAATTATAATTAAACTAGAAAAATGTTATACAATTGTAATATAAATGTTAACATGAATATTAATAAACTTTTCCTAGCAGTTCTGCAATTGTCTATGTTTTGGGCGGGCTATATGTGCCTATTGTCTCTATAACCCTATAAGATAGTATTTGTTGTTTTCGGTGCAGTTTTGTTATAATGATAGTATCCACTAATTATATAACACTGATAAAAATACTTCTGCATTTAAATGATTATTCTGGAGCGATTAGTTACGCTTTAAATCAGTGGCGTCGTTTGTTTTGCAAATAGCCATAACTTGTTTTATTGCTGGCCACCGATTAGCAATGCCCGCACACCAGTCGTTTATCTTTAAATGATACGCACAGTTACTTATCTGTTGTTAAATTTTATATTTACATCCTTACTGTTGCCAGTCTGTTAACTTAATGTGTTCATGCTCCAAATCCATTGCAGATTTACTTTTGCTTTAAGTATCTGGAGAAAATTAACATGTTCAAAGTGAAATGGAATGATTGTCGTTAGAAATGATTTGCAGAAAACAAATGTTTTCCGTACAGGGAACTTGGAACAATTACAAGCTTCAATCCATTTTAATCGGTTTGATCGATTGATCTATGATTTTGAGCTTATTAAGCTTTTGTTTATTTCTTATAATCTAGATTAATTGTTTGTTACGTGGAAAAGCTCTATAAATTTATTAAATTTTGAGACAGTTGTTTATTTATATTTTAAGAACAACTTATATAATGTTGACTTTGCAACTACCAATTGATCTTCAAATATAAATTTCTCCATATGTGCAGGAGCTTTTTTACATGAATCACCAAAAATTCTTTTGCGTTTCTATTTCATGGATCTTCTTATGTATAATTACAACTTTAAATTTTTAATTAATTTACTACTAATGTAAGTTTCAAAAATAAAGTTTAAATCAGTTCTGATATTGCAAGAATCTCTGGAATAATACGTCCATTCGGCCTTGGGAAATTTATCATAATATTTACACTAATCAAATTTAACTGATCATTACATGAATCGGATGTTGATGCTATTCATATCGTATTAATTAGGGTTTGTCTTGTTTAGTTAGGAAAGTGTTTGGGATGATGACGTAAATCTAATACAAAAATAGTGGAATAAATATATACAAAACTTTTTATAATCCCAAGATGTTGACGAGGATATGAAAGTTTTCTTTTCGACTTCGTTTGTTTCTCGCCCCGATGATACCCTTAAATGTACCTACAATCTTATCATTCTGGAAAATTATATAAATTTGCTTATTTTTCGCGCATAATTACATTTGCGAATTTCAGGTATTTTACGTTTGATTTTTAATATTTGCTTTTTTCATTCGTGTTAGCAACGAGTGTGAATCATTTGTAATGTTTATAAAAACATATAGATTAAGCACATGTTTGTTTTACTAATTGCAATTATGATGTAAAAATAATTATTTGTTGCACCATCAAAAGCTTTTATGGAAGAAACTCTTATGGAAGTCAAATTACATGAAATGCAATTTTTGAGTGAATAATAAAATCTGTTGTTTTTGACGTAATAAATACAAATTTTGATAGTACATTTTCTAATTGGGCTCGCCCGTTGGTAAGCGGTTAAGAGCGACGGGACTTCATTCAGAGGTCCCGGGTTCGATACTCACTTCGTTGTCACAGCAGCCTGTTGTCAGATTTTCACTTGGAAATATAGATAGCAACATGTTTCCAAGTGGAAATAGCTCTCACCTGGCATTGCTACACCAATAAAATATTCACCCTTATAGAACTATTAGATTCTGATTGCTGTTAAAAAAATAACGAATAAAAAACACTTTCTAATCAATGTGTCTTTAAGTAACTATATGATTTGTATTTTATATGTATTAATTTTTGCATTTTTGCTTTATTGATCTTGAATATTATAATCAAATCTAAATCGATGATTTATGTCAACACTGAACATGATCCTAAATGATTGTGAAGTTTCTTGAGCAGTGTTGTACCACTTCTATGATATTTTTGATTATATAAAATAAATAATCTTAATATTACTATTAATAATATTAATATTAAAAATAAAAATAAAATGTTTTTTTCTTGATTTATTTTCATCTATATTCACTCACGATCATAGATTAAAAATATATCATAAAATATCTGATGTTATAAAATATTTCTATTCAAGTATAAAACATTAGAAGTCAATAATAATTTATAGGTGCTCAATGTGCCTAGATAGAGTTGCTCTGTGCAGTTTTTGTGCAATATAGATCGCATGCATCAATATTTATTTCATAACATAAGTAACATGGCGCTTGAGATGATACGATAAGAGAATACTAGTTTCAAGTTACATAATATTGTACTACGGTACAGCACGGTATCTTTTGAACGACGTTGACAATATTATGCAAATTCTATGAAAATTTCAGACCTTCTAACTGATTCTTTATAAAATTTACGGAAGATCAGAGCTATTCTGTGGCACGTTTTAAATACGTAAGGAGTCAACTAATGGATAGATAAACGAACACTAATTGCTCGCTAATGAAACGTTCATGTGCGGAAAATATAGTCTCGTTTTTGTGCTAAGAGAAACCTACTTCTCGCGATGACATCCATACTTCTACAACTTACGCAATAAATGGGTACGTGTAATGATAAATATCTATACCTGTCGCCGCCTACTTCATAAAGAGATGCGTCGTGATATTCAAAGAGTAAAATTATTACAGGATATACGTATTTCATGACAAGATTGCGTTGCTTCTTTGGAAAACAAATTAACAATTATGATTATGAAAATTCTTAATGAGAATGTAAATGCGCAGCAACAGTAATCTTACCTATAAAAATGGATCGCAAAATGTGTTGGTAAGCGCATAACTCAACAATGCCTGGACCAATTTGGCCAATTCTTCTTTTAAAATGTTTGTTCATGTCCAAGGAACCATCCTTACGGCGAGAAAAAACCGAATAATTGCCGGGATAACCCTAAAAACAGCCCTTTTCTTTTTTAATCGAGTAGGCAACGAAATTTGTAAAAAAAACAATGATCTATGTCATGACATTTTGTGTAGTTTTTAAATTTATTACTATAATGCAGTTATAATGTTGCGAAATATCGACCAACCACGCCTTTGCAACGGCACAAGGTTAGCGATAAAAAAAAACTACCAAAGAACGTGATAGAAACAACTATTTTGAAAGGATAGTATAAAGCAGAAGATGTTCTCGCACCGTGCATCCCAATGATTCCGACTGATGTGCCATTTGAGATTAAACGACTACAGTTTCCAGTGCGTTTATGGTATTACAGTTTAAGTGTTTGTGGTATTAATTTGGAAAACCCATGTTTCTCACATGGAAAATTGTATGTTGTCTGTTCCCGTATTGGAAACCCATCAGATTTGTTTGTCTATGCGCCAGGTAATCACACAAAAAACATCGTTTATCACAAAGCACTACAATGAAAATTGAACTGATTTTTGAATTATGATTTGATTAAAATTACTTACTTTTAAATGCTTATAGTGTTTTATTTAATTATTTTTAATTCATACCGAATTATTACCAGGGTGACGGTACTGTTCAGGATAATTTTTTGCAAAGCCGCCTCATTACAAATTTATTTGACAGGACGAAGTCTGTCGGGTCGGCTAGTTCGATATAAAAATAGTAGTTTGTCCTTTTTTTTAAGTAAATAGCATATGTATTTAAATTTTATGTCTTAGGTACAGTACCTGGGAGTGAATCTCGTAAGTCTCAAGTTCTTGACATTATTAATGGAATTATAATAGTTGGCATATATTTTATACTCTTCAGTTCATGCACGAGATGTGTGACGACAGAACACTACTCATGAAGTATCTCATTCATACAGTGAAATATTTATATATTTATTCATAATAATATGAACAAGCACAAGGTCTGATATGCATTTATAATTAAGAGCATGTTGACACTTTCGTAAAAACTGTTATACAAACAGAGCATGATTTAGCCATCTAATGCATTATAATTACATATTGGTTTGCTAAACATTGATATAATGTAAAATTGACGTATCGTAGAATTATTCTAATTACAACGAGTTAACAATTAAAAACTCATGAGTTAAAAACATATGAAATCATGTGATAGCATAATTTAACGTTTCCTGCTAAAATTACGTACATCATGAAAGAAATCGCATGCACTTTCCTAACTGAAAGAACACGATGATAACTCAGTGTTTTGTGGAGTAATAATATGTTTTGAGTAAAAATGAAAGTTATTTCATCTCGATCTAATTGAAATAAAAATCGTTTGCAGTATTTGCAAACAACAGTATTCGCTTTTATGTGTTATTGATATATTATGCATGACTTTTTCTCTACATTACTTAATTTATTCTGATTTTATTTCTTCTTTAAATTATGGTTTTGATTTAAAAGTTGAATAATAAGTTATTTAGTTTTCATTGTACCCAAGCTGAAGGTTTAAATCAAAAGTTTCATTAAAAATTTGACTGTGAAAAGCTACTGCATTTTATCTTTTTCTTCTCATGTTCGTCTATATATCGCCGAAGATTAAAAAAATTCTTATAAACTCAAATTAACTTCCTTTCTCTATATTTTAATTTGGAAATGTTGAAAACCCCTGATAAAATCACCATTACCGTTCATTGCAATGGTTCGCGGCTGCTATTATCATTATGCAATACGGGAAAAAATGAATTTACAAGTGTTCTCTCCCGTGTCTGCAAAATTATTTTGTCGGTAGCTATTCTGGGCATAGTTATTATCAGATGAAATTATATGAAGTCTAGACTTGATTTTACCTTGTGTAAATTGACGCTGTCATTGTAGTAGAGGAATTAAAGATGATTAGTAAATTAAATATCTGTAATAGACAATTGCTGCAAATGTATTTTTGCAAAATAGTGTAGTCTTGTTTTTGACTTTCAGCTTTATGGATTACTTACTAAATATACTGTAAATTGTGAATTTAAATATATAATCCATGTATAATGTGTAGAGCGATGAATTTCAGGTCATTTTTAAAGTGTCGTCGGCAAAAAAATGGCACCTCAGTCTTGACATGATTTCAGCCCTCCTAGCCATCGGAAATGCATAAAATAAAAAGATTATTAATCTACAATGATGTCGCAATCGCCCGAACTAGCAATGAGTAAAAAAAAAAATTTTACTGTTTTTTTGTGTTTCTCGAATTTTTTAAAAATAGTAAAAATTGGAATTTGGGGATAATCCTAGTTCGGGCTATAGATAGATCTATAAACAAGACTCTCTGAACATTTCAAGTGAATCGGTCGATTAAAACTCGAGAAATCGTGTCAACAGTACTGAAAAAGTCTGTTCTGAGAAAAACGCATTTAAAGTTTAGCGTGAAGCCAAACCAGTATGGAGACCGAGTCAGTAAAATGCCCATATCTCCGAAAATAATTCAA